CCTTGCTTATTGGACATTAAGAACCAAAGAAGGAGACGGAGAGAGACTTACTAAGGGAGAGCAGAGATGAATAGTGGTGGTGTCATGCACATGCTTCATTAAATCCTTAGCACATATTAAGTATGTATATGCCTGGCACCGGGGGAAAAGTGGTTTAAAGCAAGCTCAGTTTCTGTCCTCATGAAGATTATGACGAAATATAAAGGAAATGATCATTAAAAACAAAATCGAAGGGATCTAGTTTCCAATCCTGACTTTGCCTCTCACTACCTCGGGCAAGTTGTTTTGTCTCTCTGGGCCTCAACTTTCCCTTCTATAAAATGAATGAACTGGGTGATCGCAGGCCTTCATTGGTTTGTCATTTTGGAAATTTTATTAGTTGCCTTATGAATAATTATTGTGTCTGTCTTACATGAGGTACATTCCAGTTCCATGACCCCTCGCTTTCACGAGGTCTGTGTTTAACTGTCTTGCTAGTAAAGAGGCAGTAATCAATTTTAGATCATTTTTATCCTCCTTTTGAGAATCTCTGTAAGAAAGGTTAAGACAGTGTCTAGCAATTACAATAGCTCCTACCCAATTGGCTTCTACAGTGCTACATTATTTTTTGTTCGGCATTGCAATTTAGTATTCTTATGTATGACTTCAGTGCATTTTAATTAAATAACTATGCTCCTTATCTAGACAATTAAAAATAATTCAGAGTAAAAATGTTCATGATTTAGAATATTATGCGTGCCTATTTTATTATTATATGCCCTTTATCTGACAGCCTCCTTATTGTACACACAAATAATTGGATCTTGTCCAATCTTGAAATCTTGTGACATTTAATAAATATTTTTATAGGATTTCCTTAAGAAGTATTCTGTTCTTTTGAGTCACTAAATAATTCAAATGTCTATTATAATTGCTAAAAGGAATGCTTTTCACATTCTTTTCTTGAATCCATTTATATTTACTTTCTCCCATTTCCCTCTATTTGTTCTCAGTTTCCTCTTTTATCTCTCACAATTCTTGAAAACAATGGTCTATAGCTTAGTAACTTCATTATGTGCTCACCTCTGGACCCCAGGAGCATATTTTCCCAGTCACCCTGATTTATTCAGATTTTCTAAGCATGTTTCACCGAGCATATATTAATAGCTATTTTCACAAGGTCTTCATTACTTCCTAATTCTGCAAATTCCATTTCCTTATTTATCTTGCCAAAGACAGAGTTGAAAAAGGAGTTCATTATCTCAGCTGTTTTAGAGTCATTATTAATTTCACTCCTTCCCTTATTTGTTAATGGCTCTACATATGCTCAAATATTTCTTTTCCCTGGTACAGTTGTAAAACACCTTCTTACTCCCCTTAATGTATTTGACCAGCGTTAGCTCGTTACTGCTTTTTGGCTGTCCTTCCTATTCTATTCCTGGGAGTCCTGGTACATTTTTGTATCTTTTGTAGGCAGAGGGAAGAACAGGGAGAGATCCCATTTTATCAGCCTCCTTAAAGAAAAATTTGTAAGTATAAATGTGAGTGTTTATTATAAAACAAAACTGACAAATGCTATTTCAATAATATAGATATCACAAAACCCACACAAATGAAAAGGGTTTTTTGGTTCTTTAATTGTCAAAACAAACCTCTCTGCTGCTTTCTTTCCTGCATTTTTCTGGCTACAATAATCATTGATCATCTTTTCATACACTGATGATTTTGGAATATATAGAATTGCCAGGCTTAACAAATAAAAATGCAAATTGTTCAGTAAAATTTGAATTTCACATCAACAATGAATAATTTTTTAGTATAAGCATGTCCCATGCAGTGTTTGGGACTACTACACCAAAAAGTTGTTAATACCATATATTCTCTTGTATGTGAATGCAAAGAATATTGAACACATAGAAGCAGAGAGCAGAATAGTGGTTACCAGAGACCGGGTTTTGTTGATCAAAGTGCGCAATGTTTCAGTTGGGAGGAATAAATGATAAGTATTTGAGGTGATGGATATATTAATTAGCTTGCTTCAATCAATCCCCTTTGTGTATATACAGCATAATATTACTTTGTTACCCTATAAATACATAAAATTATAATTTAATATTTAATAAAATTGAATTAATTAAAAAACTTTTTTGCTGTTTATCTGAAATTCCAATTTAACCAGACATACTGCATTATATCTGGCAACCCTCATAATGTTTTATACAAAAAAAATAAAAAAAAATACTTTAGTCTTTCCTCTGAAATACTAAAAGATATTTCAATTTGCTAGTGGGTTAGTGGGTTAGCTGCAACCTCTCTCTTCTTTCTCCTTTCTAAGGTAGAATGTTGTCAGTTCTCATCTGCTCATTCCCTTCTTCCTCTCTTTCTCTCCTCTCTCCCTCTCTTTCTCTAATTAATTCCCTCCTCTCCCCATGTGGCCCTTCTCTTAACCACCCTGCTCACATCTCAGTATGGAACGTCACTCTTTCATGGAAAGAATCTACTGGACCTCAGTGACTTTATTACTGAAGTTTCTTCACACTTTCTTCCAACTCTTGGATTTTAATATATCATCTCAATGTCCCTAATGCACTAAACTCTTAATTCTCCAGACTGTAATTATTTGAAACCTAAAAGTTTTCTAGGACTGGGACCCAGGGAGCCATTTCTTACTATGCTCAATTTAAATTGTTCCTTTTCAGGGATGTCAAAGTTCCTAAAAAGTCTTACATTGTCAGTGGCTTTGTTTTCGTTAGGAAGGATCCATCTCAGCAGAGTCTTCCTGCAGTAGGTTTCTGCTTTTCCTGGGTTTGACCCAGATCCCCGCATATGTTTAGGGTCAATTGCATAATGAATGTTATCTGAGCTCCAAATCTTCTTCTAGACGGTGGAACTGATATTCCCACATACTGTGAGGTCTTTAGTCTGAGTTTGTAAATGAGGGGTTAGTGTGAGAATACCCTGCCTTTAGAGTTAGCACTCCACCAGAGACACCTTCCAGTCCCTGAATCTACGCATTCCTTCTCAGCCTTTGCACTCTCTTTTCTTCCGTGGCTCCTTATTTATGTATTCCAAAATCCCAATGTGCACACCCCATCTTCATAAATGATGGAATGTGTCTAAAAACTGATGTCACTATCAGTTTTCTTTTTTTTTTTTTTTTAAGCCAGTTGAATGATTAGTATAGATTATCCAGGTGACCATTTACTTGGAGTTTTCACTTCCTGATAAGTTCTATAGAATCAGTTTGAATGAAAGCAAAAGTTGAATGACTTAATTCTAAAACTTCTATGCTATTACCATTATAAATAGCCACCATATAGAGAGCACTTATGCCATGGTGAACCTAGGAACATCATCTCGAAAGCATTATCTAATTTAATCTGATAATCTATTGGAGAGGAATTATTATCTGTGTTTATTGACAAGGAAACTGAGAGGGTGAGAATTTGCTCAAAGTCATGCATGTAGAAGGTGTTAGAGAGGGGATTCAGATCTGTCTCAGTTTAAAATCCACGCTTTAATGACTAAATAACACCATGTATGTAACAGGGTTTCCAGAAGGTCTGATAATTGCAAACCCAGAACACCTCCAATTTAGAGAGTTGAAAGCAATTTCTGTCTTATAAGGAGACTAGCATTTAACTCGGAGAAGATCCTTTCTTTGTTTAAGAGGCAACACTCCAGTGGGGCCTTCAGAACTTCTTAAAGTAGGAGGCAAATACCTACCAAGATGGTCTTTAATTCAGTGAAGTTACGTAAATGCAGTTCATCAGACTAAGATATTAAGACTTCTGTTTAGTAATGCAAATTGGAGGGTTTAGTAAACCACTTTTGCAGAAGTAGAAAATTTGCTTTCATGTCCCTAAATTTGTACTTAGCCCTACTCTTTTGTTTCCATTTGCCGCTATGCCTACCTTCTTCTTCTTGGAATAGCACCTTTGGCCTCTGTCACTCCATCTGGTTCTAGGGGAGCTGCCTCTATCCCCTGCACTGTGACCATTGGCCAGGGATGGGTGAGTGACCCATGGCGGATCAGAGTTCTTTCTGCTCTCCCCCGTTGGGTTGCTAAACTAGGGTGAGATGACAACTGGCCTAGAGTTGTCTGCAGCCATTAAACGTCCAACCTTCTACCCACTACTTGGATGAATGCTTTCTAAAGAGAGCAGCATGGCCCAGAGATAGAGGAAGAGCGAATAGGACATGGCGATGCGTGAGTGCGTGGCATCCTAACCAAGCTCCATCCAGGATTTCTGAGTTGCAAGAGTCAATCAATTCCCTCTTTGAGGTGTTTTCTTATTTGTTTATTTCTTTACAAAGCCTGGAAGCAAAGACCAAACCAGCAAGGGAATTGTACAGGTCTGAGTTCTTTACTTCATAGATAGAAGAAACAATGCAAAAAAGAAGCTGAGCCAAAAAACAATGCAAACTGCACTAGACTTTGCACATTGCCAATGTCAGATTTTTAAGACCCAACAAGCTGGGCTTTGGAAACATCCTTCTAGTTTAATTATGTGGCTCTAAGTCCAGACCCCAGCTTGTGAGTAGAGATTTTTCTCTAAAAGGAATGTATTTGAAAATTGTCAGTTAAAATACCGGCAATGGGCTAGCCCCAGAGAAAGACATACAAAGTGGCTTGAGCTTGTTGTGGGAAGGACTGTGGGAAGGCCTTCTTCCTCTCTCTGGGGTTGAGAGGATGGGGACTTTGAAGGGGGTAGTAGACTTTGAGGCTGGAGGAAGCTTGGAGCGTGCTCAGCTCCGGAAGCGAGTTGGGTCCTCCGTATGGGGGTAGGCCAAGGACCAGGCAGAAGATTATGCCATGGATGTCGATGACTATCCCCAACAGAGGCCAGTGCACCAGGACAGTGGTGCACTCATGGTACCCACCAACAGCGAGCAGCCATGGATGGTGTGGAAGGGAGCAAGGGAAGAGCACAGCCTTCTGGGAAATGTAGACATAGCAAGGGGCTGTTTTGAATGGAGATAACTTTCTGGGGATTGGGGGAGTAGAGGCTCCAGGAGAAAGTACGTATGAGCTTATGTGGCATGCAGAGACTGGTGGGAACAGGAGCATTCAGGCTTTATATAGATGTGATCTTCTATAACTAATTACCGACGGTTGTCACTAATTGGATTTTCAGAGACTTGCCAGTAGGGAGTTCTCTTTGAAGAAGGGTCCTCAATCCTAAACCTCCGTGCCCGTCCTTTATTAAACCGGCTAGTTCCACTGGAATGGTGCCAGGAAAGCACCGGTTTTAATATCACCTCCTCTTAGCCGAAGCTGTCATTATAGGCCACCATTTATATGCTGTAATTAAAATGGAGCTGGTGTTCTTTAAACTTGAACTCTGAGGGGGTTTATGCAGCTGGCGCTATTTTTTTTTTTAAAGGAAAGTAAATAAAACTGACATTTTCATTCTTAGTCTATCTAGCCCAGATTGCATTTCCAAATGAACTCTCTGCCTAAAAAGGGATCTCATTGGCACGCTCATTCCTGGCGTGTAACGACGATGATCACTGTCGTGTTTGAATACTGCTTTAATATTTACCAAGAGTTTGCAAGTTCTTTATCTTTGTTGTTCATCAGTAGCCCAGTGAAGCTTACAGGGCAAGAATTATTGTTCTTCCCAGTGTGCAAATGACACAATTAGGTTTAATGAAGTGGAGTGTCTTGCCTAAGATCACACAGATAGGAAGTGGCTTCCCTGTGTCCCTCGAATCTAGATTTGATTTTTTCCCGTTAGGCTTCCTTGTTTCCTATCTAGATTTTGTCGGTGGAACTTATTCCTTGCAATACCTTGTAGATTTCCTTTCACCAAGGTTAGGAAGGCCTCAGGCAGCCCAAGACCTTCACTTCAAATTTCATACACCTTTCCCAGGTGAGTAATAGAATGGAAACCAGAGCACTGAATAGGGAGGAGTGGGTAGTTTGGGATTCTATTTCTATTATGTCACACGAAGGAGACAGTTTGCCTTTTCAGGAATTAATTTCCCTGTGTACAAAATGAATGACTAAATAATGTTTAATTTCCTTCCAGCCCACACATGTGACATTATTCTACCTGTCATCCTTGGTTGCAAAACCCATGTAACCTTTATCTTATCTTTGAGAGTTTTACTCTGTCATTTATTGGTATTAAATACTCTTACTTTGTTTCTATTTTTGAAGAAATGAAATTGGATCTAGTAGAGATACCTCTATTCACTTCATATAAAATCTTATTATATGGCTAGGTCTCAAAAACTTTCCAAACAATCTAGCTGTACGTGAGTGTATATTCTTATATTCCTATAGTAACCAATGGTTTGTAACATTTTGGATACCATTGCATCTTTACCATAATGTTCTGAATGGGATTTGTAAGAAATTTGGAGAAATTTACACTCCTTGAGATATGTCTTATTTTAATAAGATCATGTCTAACCACAAATCAGTGAACACCCAACAATTATTCCTCTGTGAAAGAGATTTCTGGGAACAAAATTATAAAACTCTCTCCGAGGCTAAAAAAGCTCACTGAAATAACTTTATATATGTGTGAGGCACAGTGCTTTTGCCAAAAATTGGACAACTGTGTGCTATAGACCAAAATTTATATGTGAAAGCCTAAAACTCCAATAGCTCAGAATGTGGCTTTATCTTCCATTAGAGCCTTTAAAAAGTTAATATACTCAGATAATGTATGTTTCATATAAATTTACACCAAGGCAAGAGGTAGAATCCATGACTCCATCTCCTAATCCGGTGCTCTTTCTGTTCTACACCTTTGCTGCCAAAAACACGGAGAGATGCTCACAGGAATGTTAATTTGTGCCATGGACTACCGTGGTCTCCAATTGGATTTGCACCCTCAATTTTTCCGGAAGAAAAAACAAAATGCAGTACAAAGATGAAATTACGCATATTAATTTTTCACATCCAGCTACTAACACTACACCTTACAATGTGCAAGGAAGAATGAAAGGAGTAGATACAATTGAATGGAAACTCCTTTGTTAGTGTAGCATTACCACTGCGTGTGCTTTGCAAGGTCAAAGGAATTTAGAAAGGTTCTTCCTGTTGATATGTTGGAAGAGGACATGGTTTATGAATGGTAACTGCTGGTTTGTGAATGTTAACTACTATTTTTATGGATTAAGGAGCAGAGAAATTATTATCTATTTGAACGACTTATTCATAGATAATCCCAAAACCATATTTAATATGTATTTCATTTAAAAACTTACTACCTTCTAAGGTCACCTTCTAATTTTTAATATATTTTCTTTTGTTTATGGACATAGTCTAGGTGCCTAGAATATCAACTGGTGGTATATAATAAGCCTTCCATAAATGTTTATGGAATATTTGTGAAACTTTTTAGAAATACCTACCATGCAATGTTGTGTGTGAGAGTACTTGACAACTGCGCTTTTCATTATGTTGATAAAAAATTAACTTTGTGAGAATGATTCACATCTAGGGTTCTATCTCTAGAAATTCCACTTGGAACAGAAAGGCTGGGACGTGAGCATGATGTTTCTTATCACGTAGACTTCTCGTTTGCACTGATAACTACATAGTCTCAGTATATAAAGTGTTCAGTGTTTGGACTTCGTGCAGCTCTGTGTGTGCATTTAAGTAAACATGGGAGAAAGACTTGCTATTTAAATAGTTGAGAAACTACATTTAGAATTAACTTTATCTCCAAACACTGGGTTTCCGAAAGCTAGTCATGAAACATCGGCACTGGGGAAAAGAGAAATAGAGAGTAATTTATTTCGTTAACTAGATTTCATTAAATGTGACTGTTTACTTGCCTTTTTCATTTGTGATGGACTGACTTTTTAGTTATCGTTAATGGACTCATTTATATTTTTTCCCCCTGTGGACCTTTAGCTGCAAATTTCTTTTTTTATCTCCAATGTGCGATGAAATATTCTCTTTTAGTAAAGATAAAATGACTGAAAATGGATTTTGTAAAAGGAGACGTGGGGGCAACATTTATTTAAATGTGAGGTCAAAAAAACCCATCGAATGGACTCAAAGAAAACTCACACGCACATAAATAAATTTGGTCTGATTTACCATGGTACAAAACCATGCTGGTCACCGCATGCTTGTCTTATATTGTTGCCATGCTTTATTATTTCTGAGGACTTTCATACCTTATCTTATTTGCTCTTCATACCAACCCTGTAAGAAATGTAAGATAGGTATTATCGTCTCCTTTTTTTTTTTTTTTTAATAAAAATGGAGATTAGAAGGACTGGTGGGTAGTTGAATCAGGAATAGACCCAGGTTCCATGATTCCTCTCTGCAGCTCTACCCATCGCATCCAGTGTGTCTGAGTGACAGTTGTCCTTTCGAAGACGGGCAGCCCTCTCTCAGCCCCTCGCTCTCAAGTGCCAGCGGATGTCCCTCACATGAGATGAGGGCTTCGCGGCATGATTTGCATTCGGAAAGGACAAACGTCTATTCCTGTCCTTTCCTTTCTCCTCAGTAGGCCCTAGCGGAGGACATAAGTCTTTTTCATGAATAGCGACATTGGAAAAACCACCTTGGTATGTGCATTTGCAGAGCCTGGATTAGACAAAGAAGCAGAAACCTTGGTCTCAGAAGACCACGTGAAAATATATATTAGAGAACACGATGTTTTCTGGGCTTAACTATGACAAGAGTAGTCAGGGAGATCATTATTATTATTATTATTGAGAACATTGTGAGATGTCACTTCAAGCCAGAAACATCAAATCCATGGTCCTTCTGGCTGGGGAAACGAGAACTGTTGTGATCACCAGCACTCTGTCTTCTAAGCCTGTGGGATTTGCTCCTCCCTCCCTCTCTCTGCGCACGCCGCCAACACACACTCGTTCCAGGCACGCTGTGTCTGTCGGCTGAGGGGCTGCCTACTGGCTTGATGAAAAAATGGAGGCAGACGGTGTAGGAGCTATGAAGTCACGTCCCAAACAAGCATTTGCTGACCGTGACTTGATTGGAGTTCTTTTCAAGTCACGTGTGAGAGCAACAGTGACTAACAAAAGGAGACCCGTCAGTGGGTTCCACGGGGGGGTGCCCCTCAGGGTTCCCTAGGCCCTGACATTGCAAAACAAGCAAACTGCCCACGTGCCTCACAAGACCATGGCCACGCACAGCTTGTGTGCTCTTTGCTGGTTACAAACAAGCCTTGAACCATCAACTGACACACGGGGTGATGTGTTTCCAGGTTATGATGATACATTCGGATTGATCCTCCAACACCTTTTACCTTGTGGTGACAGGCATGGCTTCCAACAATGGCCCAGCAGACCGAGAACAGCATGGAGTCAACTCAGTTGTTGCCAAGCATGTTCAGTTTCTCAGCATTGTGCTTGTTTTAGTTTGAGCTCTTTGGTTACTTTTTTTTTTTTTACATCTTTAGTCTACTTGGAAGGTAGAAGATTTTCCCTATAAAGCTCCTACCTTTATTACTACGTTTCCCCCAATGTAACGAGCTCAAACCGACCACCTGGCTTTCAGTCCCAAACCACATTCGTAGGAGGGAGAGTGCCATTTGTCCAGCATGGGTAAGGTCCCCACCTCTGATCCGGTCACTGCGAATGAAGCAGAGTGGCGTACGGGTCACCCAAAGCTCAGAGAGAGGAGGGGGCCGGAGCCAGCAGGTGTCACGGCGAAGATAGAAGCCGAGGCGGGAGGCTGGGGAAAGGCTGGCCTTTCTGGGCTCAGAGCCCAGAGACACTGTCCGGGACGGTGGACCAAGAAGCCAAGAGGGAGGCACTTCTCATCTGCTACCAGTGGAAATGGGCTTGCAGTCCCAGAGACAAAGGATCTCTCACTGCACAGGCATGGCGTGGAATCTATCCTAGAATCTGCATGCGGCAAAGCAGAAAATACCAAGGTTAGGCACTTAGGAAAGACAGGAAGAAGAGGAGTGTTAGCCAACTCCCAGAAGGGCTCTATTTCTGCTTAACCCTACGCGATGTGGCCTGAGTTTCAGAAGGGTCTGCGTTTGAGACGCGTGCCTGATCTTTAGTCTCCCCCCCTGATTCTCACGACCAGAGCAGCTGAAGACGCCACATACTGCCCCGAGGTGGCCACGACTGTCCATCCCCGCAGGTCATGTGTGCCTGCGTAAATTCAAATGGAAACAGTCTTTATTACAGAAAGGGATGACACAGACAGAGCTCACAGAATAGGAAACTGCATTGTCACATCGGCAGGGCGGCTTTGAGAACACATACTCGGCGTTTCTCGTGCCCGTCGTTTGCTGCAGACTTGGGGCTTGTGAGCGTGTGAAGATCTGCTCCATGGCCCCACTGGGATCACTGACGTCACTTAAAAAAAAAAAAAAAACAACTTAGGATTCCCCCCAAGTATGTCTTCCTGGTAACTATAAATAGGTTCCATAGAGCTGCATGCTCCGGTTGACTGTTACGATTACAGTTACTGAGTCGCCAGGGTAACTACTCACTTCTGAAGGACAGGTGGAGGGGACGGGCGGGGGGATTTGGGGGTACGGCCGTCGCCAGGACGGAGGACACCCCCATATGCAAAACGCAGGCGGCTATTCTTCTGTGGCTAAGAGGAACGGGGCCGAGAATAATCACCAGTTTAAAAAAAAAAAAAAGTAATAATAATATTTCCACTGACAGTGGAGGGCAGTTAGTTTCCCAGGGAGAGGCGCTGGTGGCAAAGGGCTTTTACACAGGGAGGCCTTTGTCATTTTATGGACGCTCATCTGTCAACTGTCAGCGCGTTTCAAAAGGGGCTCGGGCCATAATGTTTTCCCTCTGCACCTTTCCCATCACGGTGGCCCAAATTGGCCCGGCGACCCATCCGTCTTCCTGTTTGCCTAGTCTGCTCCTTGACAATGAGCGGGGATGTCGTGGTCACTCTGCAGCTGCCAGGAGCAGCAGCAAGGCAGAGGGGCGGGCGGCCTCCAAGGGGAGGGCTGGAAGAATGAGCTGAGCGTCTCTATGGGAGCGCTTCTGCCCAGGGAGGAGTTTTTTTTTGTCTACACCGTTGTTCCTTGGGGGAAAAAAAGAAGGGTTGAGCCAAGTGTGGGGTTTGGCAGGGCAGAAGCCGGGGCCGCGACAAGGCACGGTGAGTCCTGACACCCGGACACCCAGAGGTCCCGAGGGCCCACGTGACGACGTCCTTCTCGCAAGTTCCAGGGTGGGGGGGGGAGTTAAGTGCGATTGTCTTGAGACGGGACGGTGCGTGAAATCTGCCGTGTGACGACTGTGAGTCGCACGTCGCCGATCTGGTCTGTCCTCACCGCAGTGTGAGCAGCATGAGCGTTTTGGGCAGATTGAAAAACTCAGATGGCGACAAACCTTGAGCATCAGCAGGTTCGAATTCTGGCTCTTCCCACCGCGATGCTGGGTGTGTCTTTGCGAGCAAGCGCCCTCGGCTTCCTAAGCTTTGATTGTCTTCACCCCAAAACAGGGATTCTAGAAATCTCTCCCTGGGAGTTGTTTGAGCATTAAATGAGGCAACGAAAAAGAAGGGGCCTTCTGAGCCTTTGGCTTGGTCTTGGCTGCGCTCCTCTGCCAACTTTTCACTTTGTATCTCATGCTAGCTCGGTGTCATGCCTCTTGGATTTGACTTTTCCAAATTCTCCTTTTTTTTTTGCTTTTTTTTTCAGTTCGACCTCATCATGCAGGGCAGGTTGGGCTTAGACAGTTAGAGAAAACCAGAAAGGCCAGGCGTTGCTCACATTGCCTCTTCACTTCTCTTGCAAATTGCCCACCAGCATCCTTCACCCATCTCTTTAATGGGGTCTTTTTCATATTGATTTTTGAAAAAATTTTATACAGTAAGCTTTTTGGAGCTTTATTTGTCCTAGGTGTAGTCCTCCCCTGTTTTCTCATTTACCTTACGGTTGAGTTCTTCAATGCAAAACTTAGGTTTTTTTTGATGATGATGCAAAACGTTTAATTCTGTGCTGCACGTATCGATCTCTGCCTGTTGTAGTTTCTTCTTCTGTTCGTGTTCTAATGTTCTTCATCACCCTAAGATCTAAAAATAGCTAACAGCTTTCCTTTTGTAAAAAAAAAGGATATTTAACCCGCTGCTGTTACATTTTTGCTTTGTAGTGTCTGAGTTATTTTTGATCTATGTGGAATATCCTGTGTGTTTGGGGAAATCAAAAAGCCAGACCTTTGCTTTCCCTTATCCTAGACAATGAGGTTCTTCTAAATCCAGCTTGGCCAACCAACTCCCCTCATCCAGTGAAGTTAGTGGGGGGGGGGACAGGTACAGTTTCAAATTCACGTCAGCGGTTGTGGATCTCTCTCGGGTGGCATTTGGCATTTACATTCAGGGGCCACAGGCCAGCCAGGTTGGCTCTGTGACAAGGCCACGACTAGCCACGAGAGCACCCTTTTGCAAATGAGAGAAGCCAACAGGCCCCTGGACGCACAGCTTGGCAGACAGAGCTTGTCCGTGCCGACACCAGGCACCTTTTTCTCTGAGCTGCGGTGACCCACACCAGGACACATGGCTTGGTGAGCAGAACAGAAGCTGGGCTGGCCCTTCATTTTGACTCCTAGCTACTCTCTTAACCAAATACCTTTGGGTAGTGAACAAACTTCTTTTTTTTTTTTTTTTGAGACAGACTCTTGCTTTGTTGCCCAGGCTAGAGTGAGTGCCGTGGCGTCAGCCTCGCTCACAGCAACCTCAGACTCCTGGGCTCAAGCGATCCTCCTGCCTCAGCCTCCCGAGTAGCTGGGGCTACAGGCACGCGCCACCACGCCCGGCTAATTTTTTTCTATATATATCAGTTGGCCAATTAATTTCTTTCTATTTATAGTAGAGACGGGGTCTCGCTCTTGCTCAGGCTGGTTTCAAACTCCTGACCTCAAGCAATCCGCCCGCCTCGGCCTCCCAGAGTGCTAGGATTGCAGGCGTGAGCCACCACGCCCGGCCTTGAACAAACTTCTTAACCATAATAGGTGGCTCTATTTCCCAAGACAGTTCTATGGGTTTCTCATCAAATATGTGATCTGCCTAAAATCCTCCCAGTACATTTCTTTTCAGCTTAAATCAGGCGTCCTCAAACTACGGCCCGTGGGCCACATGTGGGCCACCTAGCACATTTATCCGGCCCTGCCGGGTGTTTTTGCCGCCGCTGCCTGTCCTGCTTAGCAGCCAACTCCTACCGGGCCCACAGTGCGCACTCTCCAACGGTCTGAGGGACAGTGACCTGGCCCCCCGTTTAAAAAGTTTGAGGACCCCTGGCTTAAATTATCCAGAGTCAGTTTTCAGTACTAGCATCCAAGAGCCTAGATTGGTATATAGTTGATTTAGCTGCAAAGCCATATATATATTTGCATATTTTATTTATTTCATCCAGTATTACAGATTGTTAACCAGTAGACTTCATGACATTTATTTTAATATATATATATTTGTCCTACTCTTTTGAAACCCCACCTTTGTAGCAAACTGTTTTCTTTTATCCTTGAAGGTGCGCTTGTGGTTATTTTTCTTGCCCTCTTTGGCTGCTTATTCCTACACGAGCAGGTCCTCCTTCCTCACCTGTGTTCTGGAGGCCGCCACCTGCAGAGCCAGCCCTGAGACTGGAGGGACAGGAAGTGCAGGTGGACCCATGCATTGGAGAAAGGAAGTTGAGACGGTTCCTGCCTGCTGGTCTCCCTTTCCCCTGAGAAATAGCGTGCTAAGCCCAGGCTACTACCCTCTACTGACCTCTAGCACGAGCTGACCTTTCTAGGGGCACCTCAAGGAGCCACCCCGAGTATGCCCATCATTCCTGTCTTTGACAACAAATCCACCGAGCACACAGAGGTTGTACTTTCTCTACAGTCTGGTGGAAGGTCTGTATGTAGTCGCTTGAATTACAAAAGCAAGTGAGAAGGCTTAGTTCCCCAGGATAGTGTCTGAGTGGTTTGCTTTTGGTATTTTTTTTTTTTTAAATAAGTCGTGTTTATTCTACCGGCTCTATAATATCAACACCTGAAATATTCAAGTAACCAACACATTCATTCTAGTTTCTTTTCATAGAGTACATTTGATCTTTTACAATGATTTGGAGAATGTGCATGTATATGTGTGTGTGTGTGTGTGTGTGTGTATGAGTTCTCCTAGTCATTACTTTTATGTTACAAAAATCATCTTCAGACCTATTTCCTCTGCTGGGTATCTTCTGATTTCTGCCTTTATAAGATAATAGCTAATACTACGAAGTGCTTATAGGTGCTAAGTACGTTATATGCATTATCTGATTCATTCCCTTACAACTCTGGGGTGCTTTTGGTATTTAAACGAAGTAAATTTTGAAATAGATGAGAAACATCATTAAACCTCCCCGCCAACGCGCTTCCGTGTTAGATTTCTGCAAATTTAATGGCAGAAGAGTCGTCAGAACAAAGAACATGCCATGTCCCAGGCTCTACCTACCTTCCTTGGCTTTTTGGCTTGAGTCTGAGTGAGTTGTAGTAAGAAAGCTCTGTGTGTGCTCATTGCTACAAAGCCACAGAGTGTCACTGAATTTCCTTCTGCTGAAAAGATGGGAACATTGATTTTCCAAGGAGGAAAAAAAAAAAAACAACAGGTAAGAGATGCTACTTCACACGTCCATGTAAACTGAGTGACCGTTTCTTGACCACGTAAGCCCAGGCTACACAGGAGACTGTCCAAGAGCACAGATACCAGGGAAGAGTGCTGGTTCAATCCTCACTCAGTGACCTCACAGCTTCCCCGGGCCTCGGTTTTTCTCATTTGTAAAAGTAAGTTGGTTTTGAAGCTACATCAAGCTCTTAGAACAGTGTCTTCAAATATCCCTGCTGCATGTGTGTCAGCTATTGTTCTATGCGTGGCCCAGCTGGAGCTAGAAGTTTTGTCTGTGCTACCATGTTTCCCCAAAAATAAGCCCTAGCAGGATGTCCAAGCATTTGTGCAATAGAAGCCCTACCTCAAAAATCAGCCCTAGTGGTGGGCGTGGCTATGAAAATCAGCCCTAGTGGTGGGCGTGGCTATGAAAATCAGCCCTAGTGACGGGCGTGGCTATGAAAATCAGCCCTAGTGATGGGCGTGGCTATGAAAATCAGCCCTAGTGACAGGCGTGGCTGCGCAGCGCATCTGCACAACCCATGCGTGTCGTCCAGGAGCAGGAAAGAACACGAGCAGCCCTTCTCATCCGCCCCGTGAGAGCTCTAGTGCTCCACAGGAGAGATCGGGGCCGGTGGCTCTAAAGGAAACAGAGTCGCAAGACATTCAGGATGGGATTCGGGGTCTGGAGAGTGAGGATGATGTTCCAGAAGAAGACGACTTCACTCTATTTGAATCAATGTAGATATTGTACCGCACTTAAAAAAAAAATAACACATCCCCTGAAAATCAGCCCTAGGGTGTCTTCTGGAGGAAAAATAAATAGAAGACCCTGTCTTATTTTCAGGGAAACTCAGTACAGCCTTTGATTCTAGCAACAGGACCCAGCTGTGTCCTAAGCTCTATGGACTCTGTAAAGGCTCCGGACACTTGGTTCCCACGATCCCCACCCTCCGTGGTTCGCTGAGGATGGGAACCTTCTCCGTGGACTAACTTGGGGCTGGGCCCCGCCATCCACCTCCTGCCCCTCGACTGGCAGATCTGCACGAGGAATGTTCCCTCACAGATGACACAATTTTAGGGCCCCCAGTGATGTGTGGTCCTCGTAGACAACTGGCCTTGGTGTCTAGCTTTGCCAGAAAGAAGGTCTGTAGATGAGCTCCTCCAAAACCAAAGCCGTGATCGCTGGCAGACTCACCTCTGCTTCCGCCCGGCAGTCCTCTGTAGCAACTCACTTCATTTCGGAAATCGAGGCACGGTGGTGCTGTTCGTTTTGTTGAAGGGCACAGGAAGTTCCGCAGAGTGCAGCGGAAATTGGAGGTGGCATAAGTGCTTTGCCGAGACGTTTAACGGTCAAGGTGGAAGAATCTGTTTTGTAGATTGCCCAATTAAAATTCCTACCACCCACACACTCCATGGCAGAGGGCTTAGGCATCTCTGTTACTGGTTGTGTGTGTCCAGGTAGATTTAAAGAATGACTTCCTGAAGGGACTCTTGGCCCTGCCCTGGGGTCCTGTCTGCTCGTCTTCAAGGGGAAATGAAATGGCCTCTCTCCAAGGCTGCTTAACTTTTATTCATTCCATCTGCAGCTCAGCTGCTTTTAAAACACACAGCTCTGCACTTAACTCGCCACGTAAAATGACTGCACTCCAAGCACTCGTTAGGAAATATATCCTCCGCGTCACTGCTGATCAGCAGCTACTTAATTTCTCCGGAAGGCAAAAAGGATTGGTCCCGTTGCTTGGAACTCCAGGACGCCTCTCTCGTCTCTTCCTTCCCCACAGCACTCTCATCTGAGCCGCCGGAATCTTTTGCATCACGAGAGCCTTGGAACTCTTCTCCCCACGTTTACTTCCATCCTCACCTTTCCCGTCTGCACACCTCACCCTGAGCAGTGTTGAAAAATATAAATCTATCTGGGCCGTGCTCACTGTTTAAAAGCCTTCAGCGACTTCTGACTATTATTAGGTTCAAGTCTAAAATCCTCATCCTGTCCTACAAGGTCCAGCAAGGGTCAGCCTCTGCTTATCTCTCCCAACATGTCTCTCAACATCTCCTCCTTGACGTCCAGCCACGCTGGTCTCTCTTTGTCTCTCCCCGTGGACAAAGGGCTCTGCCTCGGGCCTCACGTGTGCTCTTTGCATGACTGATGCTTCCTCTCCCATCCCCCCCTTCACTCCCACCATCCTCCTCTTTCCTCCTTGACACCACAGTCTCCATCCGTGGCTGCCTAAATCCTACTCCCTTTCTCGCCTCACTCTGTTGTCACCGACTTCCTAGATATTTCCATTAACCTGCCTATCATAGTTGATAATTATATTTTGATTTTTTTGAGATTATCAGATAAACCTCTGTCATTCCCCTCCCCCCCCATAAAGACAGATACTAAGACTGTACCTTAAAAGCTATTTCCTGAGCTCAGCATTGTGCTCTGCACATAATAGATACTCAGTAAATGGGGAAGGAGAAAATAATTGCCTTGTTCTTCCATTCTTCCAGGTATTTCAGAATCTATTGCTGAGAAGCATATGTTATACATGTTTGTTTATTGTGCATAAAGCCAATTAGCAAGAGATGTGTGTTCCTCGGCCCCAATCGTTGTCTCTCACCATTCCCACCCACCTTGTAATTATTACATCAACCTAAATGTACCTTTGAATCATTTCATCATCATATAATGGAGGATGTTACAAGAGATAACCTTATAAAAAAAGTATTTCCTATAAAGCATATTATCCATTCTATAAGGACCCAGTAAAAATAAGTTTCTTCAAAGTAGTCATGCTTCTTTGGAGCTATTGATTGCTTTTTTTTTTAATCTTATAAACATTATAAAAAGCATAATTAATAGTATTATCTTCTTTAAGGCATCTAATTGGTGGCCAACTTTTGGCAAATGCATAGGATTTCATGGCGTACTTTTTATATACTAAATTTATCCATAAGATGTTACTTTCTTTTTATTTTGCCTCCATTTTCTCACCTCTTGGGAATTTATTTGTGTTACCATATACCTCTCCCTAAGCCATCTTAAATCCTTTCTGGAATAAGGTGGGGTATAAGTAAACAAACAAGACGTGTATAATATATGCTTCTCAGCAACACTTCTGGGCATTTCCCCGGAGGTACGAAAACAATTGTGAAAATAAGGCCAAAGAGTTCTTTTCCGTTCCCTCTGCAGTCACAGAGAATCACTCAGGGTTCCCCAAAACCATTCCCCAGATAGAGTCAAGTTGCTTTTTTAGTAATTCCATTCATAAATACACACTATGGCTGTCTAGTAGAGCACTTGAAATTTTGATCATCAAAAGCTTATTGTGTGTTTGGGAAACTTGAAAAGAAACTGGAAGCTGATACCCAGGGAGACTAGAATAAAAAGTGAGATGTTTTCCTTCAACAGCAGCGGGACGTGATTTAAAGTATAATGTAATGCACGACTTTTGACTTCATGCACCTTTTTTGCTTTCTTTTGCTCTTTTTGTTTTGCATTTACAGTAGTCAGGTTACCCTAGCCTACATAGTTAACTTGACCACGTCTAGGAGGAGGAGAAAATCCAAAGGTTGTCCCTGCTGCTATTCTAGGACAGAACGACAGGTGTGTCTGACCATGTCAATGTCTTGAAAAGATAATCAAACATTTAAAACAAGAATTCAACATATTCATACCTCTGCTAGTTGTTTTTTTTTCTCTCTCTCTCTCTCTCTTCTCTCCCCGCCCTCATACCCAATATGTAATTATGAAGTAGAAATAGAATCACTACAGTAAAAAAAAAAAAAAAAAAAGTCCACTTAGGAAAAAAAAAGAGACTGGAACACAGCAGCAGTGAAGTCCCTCTGGGCCAGAACTGTAAGCCCCGGCTGCCCTCGCTCCGGGCTGGAGAAAGGTCACCTCGGACTTTTGTCCCCTGCTGTCCCCGGTTCCGCGATCTGGGTCTCCCTCCATTTCCTCCGTGACCACACCCGAGGTGGGCACTGCAGCGGCGTCGTTTTTCGGGGTGTCACAGTTTTTGTGTCCTGTTTCCTGCTGGCATGGGTTTCGGAGCCCAGGGGTTGCTTTTAGGGGCCGGCCGGGCTTTTGCGGACCGAGTTTGTGGTTTCTTTGGCCGTATTATCCCCTCTGGAACCCGGCAGGCTTCTGGTCTGCTTGTCCCCAGTCTGATCCCCGTGTGGCTCCCCCCTGACCCAAATATCTGGTCTCCCTTGTGGCCAGGTGCAGACAACCTCTTTGAACTGACACTTGCCTCCGAGCTGGTTCCCTTTGTCTTGCAGAGAACAAGTACTGGGAGACACTTGAAAACTGGGTTAGGGTGTGTCCCATCGGCAGTTAGACACCCAGGGCTCACCAGTCCGTTTAGGACACACATGGAATTAGGGTTTTCATCCCCCTCAGGCCCCAGATTACTGGGTCCTCAGTCACGTGCAGGTCACAAGCCAAGAATGTTCTTTCCTTCTTCCATGTGCAGATGAGCTAGCTCTGGCCTGAGTTTCATGTCTCTCCAAGTTTTTTTTTTTTTTTTTTTTTTTTGAGACAAGAGTCCCACTCTGTCACCCAGGCTAGAGTGAGTGCCGTGGCATCAGCCTCGCTCACAGCAACTTCCAACTCCTGGGCTCAAGCGATCCTCTTGCCTCAGCCTCCCAAGTAGCTGGGACTACAGGCATGCGCCACCATGCCCAGCTCATTTTTTTCTATATTTAGTTATTTGGCTAATTTCTTTCTATTTTTAGTAGAGATGGGGTCTCGCTCTTGCTCAGGCTGGTCTCAAACTCCTGAGCTCGAGCGATCCTCCTGCCTCGGCCTCCCAGAGTGCTAGGATGACAGGCGTGAGCCACCGCGCCTGGCCTCCAGGTTTTGAAGTAATGACATATCATGTTATTGGAAAGATGGACTTTCTTCAAAAGAAGCTGGTCTGAAAGAAGTGACAGGAGACTAACTCTATGGCAATAAGGATGTGACGAAAATCCACATCCCTATGGATGTGGATTGTGGAAGTTTCCTAAAAATCTCATTAAGAGCATATATAATACAGAGAAACAAAAGAGAGGTTGAAGACATGGGACATACACACAGACCAGTGGCTTCCAGACTTTTCTAGACTTAGGGGAACTCATAAAAGTACTCATTTCAGGGCCCCAAACGAGACCTGCCAGACCACAGCCTGGTACCCAGGACTCGCATGTGGGTATCTATCACGTGGCAAGCCACTCTCATCTGCTATGGAGCTGGCATTTGGGAACCGCTGCTGCAGACAGTCAGTGAGGGGGATGGGAAGAAGGCCACCTTCCTAATGCAGATCACGAAAACTGGCAGAGAGACAAGGGCCAGCAGCGCCCAGCCCACCACCCCAGTCGGCTGCACGCTGCTTTCTGATGGCGCCAGGCACCTCACACATGCCGGACGTCCCTGATGTCGTGTCACCTCCCAGAACGCGCAGGGCGAAGTGAGGGAAACACGTACCTGGACTTTCCTGTCCCCTTCTGGTCTCCCGTCCAGGCCATCACGGACCGGATCCAAAGGCTCAGGACCCCATGCTGGCCCCGCTCCGCCTCGGGAGAGGGTGGGGACAGGGTGGCCCCGACATTTCAGGGACTCTGAAGGAAGAAGAGCTAGTCAGCCCAGCCCCCACACGACAAATGCGTGTGGCCATTCTTTTATCATTATTATTATTTTTTTTATTTCAGCATATGATGGGGGTACAAATGTCAAGGTCACGTATATTGCCCTTGTCCCCCCACCGTCCCCTCGAGTCTGAGCTTCAAGCGTGCCCATCCCCCAGACGGTGCACACCTCACTCGTTGTGTTTGCATACACCTGTCCCCTCCTCGCCCCTTCCGTGTGGCCATTCTCTATAGCACAGTCAAATCTCTCTCCCACCCCCTAAAATACTTCTTACCAAAGCCTCATTGCCATTTATAAAGTTGAAGACGATCTGGGTGAAGAAAAGAAGAATGAGGCTCAAAAGGAAAGCTAGGCTGAGGCAGAAAACAGGCACCTAAGAGGCAGCCCTCGCCCACTCTCCCCCCAGTGGTCCCTCTAGCCAGGTGGAGATATCTTGGCTAGCAGATCCCGCTTGCTACACCCTGGGAAAGGTCAGGCGAAACTTTATCTCAAGGAATAACTGGTGGCTGGAGTGGCCCAAGGGCGGGGAAGCCTAGATTAGGCCCATTTATTAATCTGAACCTCAACCTTTCTTTTGACGCACATGCATCAATCTCTAACCCTAAAGGAAAAGAAAGTGTTTATTTCAGTTTTATTTGCTGGTGTTTGTTTCCTGAAAGCCATGTCTACACCTGTCACGGTGAGATGGAATTGGTTTGGTGAGAACTAGCGGCTCAGTTCTAGCTCTGGAAAGGAGAGAAGTATTGATATATATGGGAAGAGTGAGAATTCGTAAGATCCGAGAATTGGACATAAAGGGGTTTTGAAGAAATTGCCCAAATGCCAGGGCTGCAAGAGATTTAGAGCAGTTGGATAATCTCCCTGTCTCTCTCTCTGGCTTTGACAGAAGCAGTCACTCTGGCTGTCCTGGTCTTGACTGAAATATCCCTACTGTTCCAGATGGCATGGCCAGCAGAATTAGACGGTGACACTGGACAAGCATCTCAGATTTTCAAAAAGCATTTCTTTTGGGATTCTCCCTTACAAAGGGTTAGCAAATCCTATCTTTGCAAATTTACCAGGACTATTTTTATTTGTACTTACCAAGTCCTAGATACAGAGTAGGACATGAGTTCATAAGTTCTTACTCACTGTTGTTTTGATTACAATTCACTAATGTGTAAATACAATTCTGTGCCAGTATTTACTATATCCAACAAATATATGTCAATTCCCACCATGTGACTAGCACTGTACCAGGCCGGGCACTAGAACACAGTAAAGAAAAAAAAAAAAAGGTAAATAATGTGATATCTCCTCTCAAGGGGCTTATGTTCTAGTGGCGGAGCATGGTGTTAATCAAGTAGATTGCAAATAAATATATAATTCCAAATACCGGGAGAATGCAGTCTGGCTTAGGGATCAGGAATATCTTCTCTAAGGAAGTGACATTTGAGCTGAGGTGTGGAAGAGAAGCAGGAGTCAATTTCTCGAAAGAAGAGATTGTTTCGGGCCTTGGAAAAATTCAGGAAGGATAAAATCCCCAAGATAGGAAGAAGCAAAGTGCACTCAGGGAAGGCCAGGGAGGGCAGGGGTAGGGGCTCAGGGAGCAGGTGAGAGGGGAGGCGAGAGAGGCGGACAGCACCCAGATCAGAGCCTTTGTGATCTTCCACAGAGTCACTTACTCTGAATCACCGAAAGTCATGGCGAGAGGAGCGTCATGGTCCAAACTGTTTCTGGAAACATCACTTTCAGGATTGAGGATTGGATGGAGGAGGGCAAGAGAAGATGCTGTCCAGGAAAGAGATGATCTTAGTTTAGACTAGAGTGGTAGTGGCTGAAACAGGGATGAAAAAAAAGGGACTTGAGAAATATTTGGGAGTCGGAATCCATTAGGACTCAGCAGCGTGGCGGGTGCCTGGGTGTTCGATCATGCGTTGGGTGACACAGAGGGAGCTGGCAGGGGCAACAGCCCTGGCCCCCTGCTTTGGTAGCTGGACACGTATCAGTGCCATGTTGTAGAGACAGCACTGGCAGGGGGTCAGAGTGAGGGAAAACACCGTGAGTGAAGGTTTTGGTTGAGTCGATTCTGAGCTGCCTGGGGACCCCCACGTGGAGATGCGGAGAGGCCCTTGGGGGCTCGGGGGCGAGGACTGTGAACGGGCTACCCGGCACCTGCTCTCGGCTACTTTAGCTTCTGCTAGCCTCTACTTAACAGGGGCTGCATCAGCAACATCTTCAGCTTCCTCGCCCTGTTTCCACATAGAGATGGCTGGGAGACGGATCTCTGGCCAGTTGACACTAGCTTGCATTTGCTGAGGCGTTATCAGGAAAGCTTTTTCTCTGGGTGCATATTCCGTCTCACCTCTGCCTTTATCTCACTCTCTGAAGATGGCATGGTAGCTGGAGCTTGCAGAAGCTTCCAGCAGAGAAGAGGCAAGAGAATCGCAGGCACTTCAGCCCCGATGCCTTCGCACAGCCAAAACATGCCAGCCAAAGCTACTTTCCGACTTTACCAAAAAAAAAAAAAAAAACCACACACACACACAAAATTATATTACTTTCAGCTACTTTGTTTTTCTATTAATCAGAAATAAAATCACTGCTAAGTGACACAGGTAGAGTTATAAAGTTGACAGTCATCAGCACATGGTTGATACTTGGAGCCAGGGACCAGAATGAGGCCCAGCACAGATCTGGGGGGGCTCCAGCAATCAAACTCTGGGTAAAGAAAATCAAGCCAGGGCAGGAGAAGGAGGAGTGTCCAAAAAGGGAGGAAGGAAACCAGGAGAGTGTGTAAAATGAGGACACCGGTGGAAGAAGGTGTCGTGAAAAGGAATGACTGGTCAGTGGTGTCACGTGCTACTGACAGCTGAATCTTGAAGTAGCCACTGGATTTAGTGACATGAAGGTCACTCGTGACTACAGCGGAGTTACTGGAGGGAAATAGAAAGGGTGGGCCAGGAAATGCAAATGCCACCTACCACTGACTCTCTTGAGACCTCAAGCTGCAGGAGAAGAAAGTGTAGCAGCAGGCGGAAGTTGAGTGGAGAGGTTTGGTTTTGTTTTTCAAATGAGAGACTTTGAGGCCAGCCCCTGTGGCTCACGCCTGCCATCCTAGCACTCTGGGAGGCCCAGGCGGGAGGGTCGCTTGAAGCTGGCTGAGCAAGACAGAAAAATTAGCTAGGCGTTGTGGCACGTGCCTGTAGCACCAACTACTTAGGAAGCAGAAGCAGGAGGATCGCTTGAGCCCAGGAGTTTGAGGCTGTTGTGAGCTATGATGATACCACGGCACTCTAGCCTGGCGACAGAGTGAGACGCTGGCTCTTAGATTGGCCTATTGTTAATCTTCCAGAAACTAATCAGATTCTAGCATACAGTCCATATACCTTCTACTGTGAAGTTTTCCCTGCAGAATTAAAGTGTTTCAACATGCCAATATTTTTTCCTAAAGGCTTTGCACAAGTTAATTTCTACAATCCTTAGAACACATGGGCAAGCGCCCTGAGAGCATATGGTTATCCCCTTAGCATGGGAAGGAAACCGAGGCTCAGCACTTAAGCAGCTTGGGCAGGCTCAGCTGCCAGCTAGATGCGGAGCTGGGGTTTGGGTTCAGGCCTGTCGGACCCCAAATCTGTGCCCTGTACCGCAATGCTGGGATCTCTTTCTTCCGTTAACAATTAGATGCATCTCCAGTGAGGTAACATGGAATCTCTAAGTTGTTCTTTAACCCCAAACCAGATTTCCTCCTAGAGTCCTTTCTCTCTGATGTGTGCATGGTAGCCAAGCGTGTTAAACCGTGTTTTCATGTCTGATCTCTTGCTCTCTTCTACAACGCGATTGCATGGCACTAAATCTATGTTTTTCTTTGTTTGGCCCAAATGCCTTCTATCTAATTTCTCATCCTCCTCTTTTGCCCCCTATTCCTTGTTAACTAGCCGATACATTCAAAAGATTGTGTGTGAGGATTCGAGTTTCAAATCATTCATCAGGGGGAAAAAGAAATCACAATTTTTGTCACATTTTTTAGAGTTGATATTTCATTTTAAAAACCACTTAAAAATTATAAAGCACATTGATTCTATCCAAAGAACTTTCATAGACATTATATACCTATTTTTGTATGATCTTTACAATATCCTTAGAAGCTCACTAAGATAGATCTTATTATTCCCACTTTGCAGACCAAGAGATTGAGAAAGAAAATTTAAATAACTTACCATTTTATGGCAAAATATATTTGATGTATATAGATTTCCATAGTAAAGCTCCCTAGTGTTCATTTTTACTGAATTCATAGAATTGAACACATGAAAGTTTGATGGAGAAATCAAGTCATCCAACACAATCATACAAAGATGACAATAAACAAACAAAAATAGTGCGAATAATTCCTGAAAGGAAAATAATAACTCTCCGGTTAGACCAACCTGGGTTTGATTCAACCAGAGTATACTGCCTCAAATTTTCTGTACTTAGATCATATCATTTGGCCTTAATTATTGGATGATTCTGCACACTTTTTTTGAAAGTAGCAGTAGGGTGAGAATTAGGCTTAGTATGCATAGATTTTTTTCAAAAAGTAGCTAAAAATGACACCAGGTAAAAGCATATTTTGAAATTCCCCGTAAGTTTCATTTTACTCTTCATTTTCCTTCTCTCTCCTTTCCTGCCTAACTCACCCCTCTCACTGCACCCACATTGGTTCATACCCCATAAATAACTCAGCCCCGATGCAAGCACTAAAGGATATTAGAACAGCTCATTGACTTCTTGGGTTTGCTCTCTTCTCTCTGCCATCGAGTTTTCTTTGCTGATGAAGACAAAAGACATTTATTTTTTTCCCCTCTGCACAACCGATCGAGGGCATTAATTTAAAAACATCTCTAGGACACCAAGTGACTAGGAGAATCGTGCACAACCACTAACCACGAAACATCCGGATTTAAAGATAATGCCTTTGTGACAATCTCAGCCTGAACTGCAATGCTTGTGCCGAGCCTCCCAAGCCCGTGGTCTGCTCTTCGCCTGTTACAGATGTGCGTGCACCTCTGGGCTGAATCGGGTCTTTGCCGGCTTGCACACGCCCTATTTTCTCGATAGGTGTATAGACAGCATTGTTAGGCTCCCCAAACTACTTAAAACTTACGGTCACCCACTTTCTTGAAACTACTTCCATAACAAACATATAGATCTTCTGATTTCGTAAATTTAAAAAAAAAAAATTTTTTTTGGTTAAAAAAGAGGAAACAGCAGCAGGAAAAGCAGCAGCAACAAGAAAAGAAAAGAAAAGAATCATGAAAGGGAAAAGTCACCACCACTTCCATTTGATCCGGATATCCAACCTTTTAAAAAAAAAAAAAGAAAAAAAAAAGTTCAAACCCCACACAACCCAAGCACCAAGGAAAAAAAACCCCAACAAAACAATAGATATTTTAAGCCGAGAGTGTTCCAGATCCCCTGGACAAAGAGCCTCCCGAGGATTACAATGCAGTCAATGTTGCTTTAATTAAATTTAATGCGGTGTGAAATGCACTCCCAGAAACTTTGATGAATGACTGGGGCAATTCACGGAGCTCACTAAAGGGAGCCCAGCCCTCGCTGGGGTGTCAGGCCACGATGAATTGGTTAGTACAGGCATGTTTATAGACTGCCTCGGGGAACCTTGTATATGTGTGGTAATGTCAGAGATAATGTTATGATTCGCTGGACCTGAGGGGGCTTTGATGACACGGTTAATGAGATGTCCCCAGAGCATCCCAGCAGGTTGCTCCTGGACCTCCCACATCAAAAGAGCCAGCCTCCCTCCAAATCCCTCAGCTGGGCTTTTCTTTCCTTAGGGTCTTTTCCCCCTCTCTTCTTTTTTTTTTTTTCCCCCCTTTCTTAGTCTACAGTCACTTTGTCTGGCTGTTGAAATTCAAAAAGTTGTTAGTTTTTAATTTGGCTTCTTGTTGACCTGAGACAGAACAAAAGGCTTTCTGGGATTGTGTGGAAACTAGAACAGAGAAAGTAGGAAAGAGGAAGGAGGAAAAAAAAAAAGAAAAAAGGCAAAGGATTCATGGCAGACAGGGGTAACATACAAAAACCACCCTCCGTACAAAGAGAAGAGGGTTTTTTTTTTAAATTTTTGTTTCCTGTGGACTTTGGGAGTAAAATGTTGTCGTATTTCTGGAAGAGGTGATAGGAAAATGGAAATTGTTTTACTGATATCTAAAAAGAGAAGACAAAATTAAAAAAAAAAAGCAATCAATTGATGAAAATGAAGAGTTAGCCAAAGGAAGCACATAAGCAAGTAATTCACTGAGGATTGTAAGAGATACAGTTGGATTTTTAACAATTTCTCTCTTCGTTCTAATCTTTGGGGAGAAAAAAAAATCCTGTTGGGAATTGAGGAAAGTAATGGTAGCTGGTAAATAAACATGCTTGGAATATATCTATCTCTGCAAAAAGTCCCCTGACAGGAAATGAACAGATAGTATTACTTCATTAAAGAGGAAATGCAAAGAGGAGAAACAGAACCGTATCGAATAACCTTTCCTGAGACAGAAAATTGTTTTGTTTATTTTATACTTTAAAGACATTCTGAAATATTTGCGTATCTAAATGTAGCCAAACATCTCCTCCTTGGGGAGAAAGCAGTAATTTTACTACTTTTATTATTTTTTTCATAGAGGAAGAGAGGGAAAAACTAAGACCTTAAATATACTTGCCATTACCATTTTTATTGTTGCTAAAGAAATTACTAGAAAATTCTTAGAAGAAACAAAGCAACAAAGTATTTATTTATTTTTTCTACTTGTACTCTTTGTTTTTTCTTTATAAGGACTATTGAAATCTTAACATTTTTTTTGCTGCTGAAGGGTAAGTAGACTATCTAGGTAGAACACCTTCTTATGGCAAATGACATTTATTTAGAAATATACTTGCTTTTGCCTGATAGCATTACAATGAAGTTGAAATTAGAGCGGGCACAAAAGTGCCACACGTGGTTTGGTGGTTTGGTCTGTTTATTTCCTAAAGAGAACAGAAGAGAAGCAAGGAGCTAATCTGTTTTAAAATAAGTCTAGCTCCAACATGGTGTGACGAAAGAATCATTAAGGACCAATTAGCGCTTCTGCTGACTGGACTCTGTCGCACAATTATAAAGGACAGAGAATCTCAGGCAGCTAGATGAGGGACTTACTCCTTGGGTTTTAAATTGCAAAGAGGAACTCTTTCAGTGAGAAGGTAATATTAGTTACACCAAATCGAGGTATGGCTTGATAAATGAATGGACACAGTAACTAACTGGATGATGCTTTAGTAAAGAAAATGATGTGAAACTATTAAATTACTCCTTAGAAGAGAGAAGAAAAGTTGAATTTAAGTGATCAAAAGGGAGAGACATTTAACAGAAAAACTAGAGGTAAACAGGATGCCTCCCTTATGTAAGGAGCAGCTTGTTAGGAGAGATCTCTGTAAAGTGTGTTTTGTTTTTCTAGGTCTAAGCCAGGCTCGAATCCCTGACCACAGAAAACCAGACAGGACTCTTAATGTCACAAGTGACACAAGTCTCAGAAATCTCAACTCAACCTGGTTTAAATAAGCTTTTAAGAAAGGAAATATATTGGCTTATGTTATGGAAAGTTTAGAGAGAGATGAGCCTTTAGGTAGATCTAAATCAGATTTCAAACAGCGGTCTCAGAACTAGCTTTCTCTCTTGCTCTACTCTCTGTATTATATTGACTTCATCTTCAGCCCCATCTGATGACAAAATAGCTGCAGTTGCTCCAGCCCCATGTTCCCCTGGGTACCAGTTGGGTAAGGAAGACTTGAGATTTGCCCTGACTTCATGGGCTTGGATCATATGCCAAAGCTTGGAACTCAACAGCCAACACCAAAAATATTTAATGCCATGTTATGCCAAGAATGTAGTTGTCTCTCAGCTATCCCAAGCTGGTACAAAAGGCTGCTTATGGATGATGGTGCTTCCTTTGGATTTTAAAGAAGGACGAGGAGACACAGAAAAGAAAGGCCTTCCAGGTAGAGGGATCAGCATGTGCAAAGGCACAGAGACAGGAGTTCGGTCTCACTGCTGAATAACATATTGTATGCTGAGCATCCCTAATCCGAGAACCCAAAACCTGAAATGCTCCAAAATCCGAAACTTTTTGGGTGCTCACAATGCCACCACAAGTGGAAAATTCCACACCTGACCCTCAGGTGCTGGGCCACAGTCAAAACACAGGCAAAACTTTTGTTTCATGCACAAAATCATTACAAATAGTGTATAAAATTACCTTCAGCCTATGTGTATAACGTATATATAAAACATAAATGAGGCTGGGCGTGGTGGCTCACGCCTGTCATCCTAGCACTCTAGGAGGCCAAGGCGGGCGGATTGCTCAAGGTCAGGAGTTCGAGACCAGCCTGAGCAAGAGCGAGACCCCCGTCTCTACTGTAAACAGAAAGAAATTAATTGGCCAACTAATATATATAGAAAAAAAATTAGCCGGACATGGTGGCGCATGCCTGTAGTCCCAGCTGCTCGGGAGGAGGCTGAGGAAGGAGGATTGCTTGAGCCCAGGAGTCTGAGGTTACTGTAAGCGAGGCTGACGCCACGGCACTCGCTTGAGCCTGGGCAACAAAGCGAGACTCTGTCTCAAAAAAAGAAAACATAAATGAATTTTAAATTTAGACTTCGGTCCCATCCCCAAAATATCTCGTAATATATATGCGAATATTTCAAAATAAAAAAAAAAAACCTGAAATCGGACACATTTCTGGTCCCAAGCATTTCAGAGAAGAGATGCTCAACTGACACGGTGGGAGAAGTGATGGGGGAAAGTGGTTGGTGGGAAAAGCCAAACGGGTAGACGAGAAAGAGACCGTGATGGTTTTACCTGCTATGCAAATGTACTTAGTGTTGTCTGCAGCTTCAAAAGGGAGCCAGTGATGAAGAAATTGGAGGAAAGAAGAAAAAGGAATGGCTTTCTGGTAAACACATGGAGTAGGAACAGGAAGGAGGAAGACCACGGGCAGGCAGGGGCAACAGCAAGAGGACTTCTGTCATAATCCCAGCTGCACATAAGAAATCCTGACCTAGAGCAGAGGAGGTGGGTATGGAGAAGCAGCAATGGATATAAAAGATGAGTGCTTTAAGTTTTCAAAAGATTACTAACACAGCGGAACTCTCTCTCTCTCTCTTTTTTTTATTATATATCAAAGAAAACCTTGCAGTCTTACCTAGAACCATAGCAGGGCTGCCTCACGCCCCTGGCCACAACTTAGAAACCACTACGCCACCGCCAAGCCCTGGTGGCAGTCTGCACGCGGGCCCCAGGGAGCAAGAGTGAGCTTGCGGGACGGGACGCTTGGTTTTCTGGTTCAGGCCGTTTGCTATTGGTTTTCTGGTTCAGGCCGTTTGCTAAATGGAAGTGGTCTTGCCCAGGAAGAGAACGCAGCAGGGTGAGGGGGCAGGCTCACTGCTTCCTGCCCTCCCCCTCCCCAATTTGCTCTTGGTTCAGTCTTTCCCACCAAGATTTTATAATGAAAACTGTTTTGTACCAGTCAGGAAAAACGAGGTTTACCAATGAAAACCTAACCACCTCCAAGTTCTAAAACTAACACTCACAGTAAAAGATAGCTCAGCTTGCCGTTTTTTCTAGAAGGACGTACATCTACGTGTGCAAAATTGAATTCTTATTTTCACATAATTAGTTAACTGTTTTCAGTATGTGGTTTAAATTTCTTTTTTGAGCTAGGTTCTGGGTACAGTTAACTACCATGGTGTGTGTGTATGTGTGTGTGTGTGTGTATCTGTGTGCGTGTGTGTAATATTATATGTGTAATATGTATCTATATGATATACAGTTAACATATTAAATATAAATTATATATAAAGGCTAATTTTATTTTATTCACTAAATCAATCATCCGTCAAACGCATACTGGTACCTACCACGTGTACCAGCGACATGGCAGTGATCACAGCGGCCGATTATCTTCTCTTACGGAGTTTACATTCTAGTGAATTGAAAGCAGACCGTTTCTAACAGACCTGGTGCTCGGGGTACAGTCGAGAAAAGTTAAGCCCACCATCCACTCCCCCACTCAGATCCAGCGGCAACACGGTAGGGATCACAGAGGCCGTAGGAGCTGGGCAGTGACACCGGGCAGAAGAAGCCATCTGGCCTTTGTGTTTCTCATCAGCATGGCTCTGCACGTTGGATCCAATCTTGACACGGACTGTCAGCCTCTCTTCAACCTCAGAAAGGTAATGCACGCTTCAGTTTCATTGAAACTTGGGATGTCGGGCAGGCAAATGATTACTAACTTTGACTAGAGGAAGATGAATGGCAGCGGGAGTGACAGTGACATTACCTCCCACTGCGCTGTGTCTTACAGAGAACCGCATGGAGTGGCACGGCACCTCTCTCTGTCCCCTTCCCTCTCTGCTGTATACCTTCATTGTGTGCATGATGGTTTTTTAAATTTCAGCACATGATGGGGGTACAAATGTTAAGGTTACATATAATGCCCTTGCCCCCTCTCCCCCCTCAAGTCAGAGCTCCAAGCATGACCATCCCCTAAATGTTGCACATCTCACTCATTGTGATTTGTATACACCCGTCCCCTCCCACCTGCCCGGCACCTGATAGATGTCACTCCTGTGTGTCCACTTAGGTGCTGATCCGTCAACACCAGTTTGCTGGTGAGCGCACGTGGTGCTTGTGTTTCCATTCTTGGGACACTTAGTAGGATGGGCTCCAGCTCCAGCCAGGAAAACACAAGAGGTGCTGGATCACCGCTGTTTCTTAGAGCTGAGTAGTGCTCCATGGCGTACACAGACCACGTTTTATTAATCCACTCATGAACTGATGGGTACCTGGGTTGTTTCCACAGCTTTGCGATTGTGAATCGTGCTGCTATAAACATTCGAGTGCAGGTATCTTTATTGGAGAGTGTCCTTTGTTCTTTTGGATAGATGTCCAGTAGTGGGATTGCTGGGTCAAATGGTAGATCCACTTGTATCACTTTAAGGTATCTACATATTGCTTACATGATGTTTTAGGAACCAGGACCCTTCCCGCCATTCTCCTTTCCATGCCCGTATGCACTTGTCTACGTTCAGTTCCTGTTCGCCTTTCTTCATTATTGTTCACGGGAGGACATAGAACTGGGCCTTAGAGCAAAATGAGTTGCAGATTCCATCCCCGGTAATGCTCTTCTCTTGCATGTCCAAGGCCTCCTGTCCGTGTAAGGAATCAGTGGGATTGCTGAGTACTTCTTGAACCTTCTTTCACTCCACTCCCAGAGCCTGAATGCCACAGGCAGCCACCCCACCAAGCCTTCAGACCTGGCCGCCTCACCTCGCTGTTTCTAACTCGACATGACTGTACCGCCATAGCTCTCTTACTTCTTTCTTGTGTTGAATAATAAATAAAACACTTCAAGGGTTTCCCATGATCTGTCAGACTCCATAGCAGACACAAAAGTTCCTCTAGCTTCAGGATCCTAATTTCCTTTCCTGTCAAACTTTTCTTCCCCCCCTTCCCCAAGTCCTCTGTACGGCAGTAAAGCTATTGCTCGTATTGTTAGTGCCATCGGAAATGTCCTTCCTTTGATTTTTTTTCTTTCAACCTGCCAAAATAACTCAACTGTGGCTATCCTGAGGATATATTGCATTATCTCTGGCCTTGAAGTCTCTCAAGTAGACAGAAAAAAAAAAATTATCCTACTTGATTCAGTTGCTTACTACACTTAATTTTCCCTTACATTTTTTTTCTTCAAATGAAAACCCTTAAGTTAGAGTTCTAGATTTATGCTGCTTTTAGATGTCCTTAGAGTCATGCTGGCAAAGATAAAAAATCAAGTTCAATTTCATCCCGAGACCTTGACAATAATTTCTGATAATGATTTGACATGAAAAGGTATATTGTTTGAATGGGATTGCGTAGTTCTAACCCACACAGAATGGGCAGAATATAGGAAGTCTGAACCGACATTTATGCACATCAAATTGAGAAACAGAGTATGAAAAAGTGAATTGAGTCTCCCTGAGGGAAGAACAAGGATCTCTTGAAAGATCTTGAATATCAAAGGGAACTGAATTTTAGATCACGTTCCAGAAATGTGCGTACAGATTGGCTTTTTCTCTGAATTCTCCGAGCTTGACACACGGAAGGTGTGCAGCAAATGCTGTCGACTGACTTACACTGAGCTCAGAAAGGGAAAGGCTGGGAGGGTCGGCCCAAGAAGGGAACCAAGCAGGTGAAACTCATGACACAAGGTTTGAAGGGAACTCTCTGTAAAAAAAAAAATCTCCAAATAGCCAAAGCAACCTCAAGCAAAAAGAACGAAGACCCCAATGGCAATCGCAGCAACAACAAAAGTAAATAAACAGAACTTGATTAAATTAAAAGGCTTCTGCACAGGAAAGAATTAACAGAGTAAATAGACAACATACAGAATGGGAGAAAATGTTTGCAAGCTGTATATCCAGAAAAGAACTAGTAACAAGAATCTACAAAGAACTCAAGCAAATCAACAAGAAAAAAATCAATCTCATTGAAAAGTGGGCAAATGACATGAACAGAAGATTCTCAAAAGAAGACAGACAAATGACCAATAAGCATATTTAAAAATGCTCAACATCTGTAATCATAAGGAAACTGCAAATTAAAACCACAATGAGGTATCTCTTAACTCTGGTGAGAATGGCTTTTATCCAAAAGTCCGAAAGCAAAAAATGTTGGCACAGATGTAGAGAGATAGAAATGTTCATACGCTGCTGGTGGGACTGAAAACTAGTACAACCTCCGTGGAAAGCAGTGTGGAGATACCTCAAAGAACGAAAAGTAGACCTACCATGTGATCCAGGAATCCCACTACTGGGTATTTACCCAAAGGAAAAAAAGACATTCTATAGAAAAAAACAAAAAAACACTTGCACTCGAATGTTTTTAGCAGTACAATTCACAATCTCAAACATGTGGAAACAACCCAAGTGCCCATCTGTAGTTGAGTGGATCAATAAAATGTGGTATATATATATATACCGTGGAGTATTACTCAGCCATAAAAAATGTTGAACATTTTGTAACAACCCGGATAGAACTGGAGACCATCTTTTTAAGTGAACTATCACAAAAATGGAACCAAAACCACATGTACCCACTACAAAATTGAAACTTATAAATCAACACTTATGTGCACATATGGTAGTGTAATTCAATGGAAATCAAACAGGTGGGGGGCGAGCAGGGGATGGGTAAATTCACACCTACCCGGTACAATACACACTATTCTGGGTGATGGACACACATAAATTTGACTAATACTGTACAAAAGCGATTCATGTAACCAAAACATTGATACCCTTGCAATATTCTAAAATTTTTAAAAAGTGCCAAAATCTTAGAATTCAAAAAAAGTTTTAGGTCATGTATTCAAAAGATGGAATATACCTGCCATTATTTCCTTCACTCCGTGCTTCACCCATGACAGACATTGCTAATCGATCGCTACAACCATTCACGCAGTCTTGCTTGCAGTTTCAGAATCCTTCTCAACACAGCACACCGGATGACTGCTTCTAGTGAGAAACAAGATAAAACCTGATGGACAGAATAGAACATAGCCCAGATAGACTTCTCTGTTACAAATGGAAAAGCAAGACTAAGTGGCTCAAAAGCAAGCAAGCAAGCAAACAAACGAAAGAACCCACCACATACCTAAATAGTAGCAGAGCCAGTATTTCCAGATCTGAGGGATTCGTATTTCCAACATAGCGGATGAAAAAAAAAATCTGCTTAAGAACTGATTTCATGAGACTCTCCGAAGACATTTCTGTCTTCCAGAATGCTCTGCATGAAGAGAGACGCTGTAGTCACAACTCACATGAAGTTTGCTTTGGGCTTTTTTCTCCACAGGAGCCTGCAGACTGGCTTGAAAGTCTTTAATTTTACTTACTTCATATCCCATTTCAGCTTCCATAAAAAAAAAAAAAAATCAGCCAGCTGCTTAACAATCCATAGGAAGATTTGTTCTGTGTCAGAAACAAGGTTGACTAATGAGCCAGAGACGTATTTCTTTCTTTGGTGTTGCCAATGGTGACATCAGTAAAATAATGTTGTTTTCTTTTGTTTTTGTTTTTTGGGTTTTTTTTTGCATTTGATAGGCTCCCTGAGCTTCCTCTTGGAAAGTCTGCCTCACCCCCTTCCCCAGCAAGTCCCCCCCCAAGTGCTTTCTTCAGTTTTCACTTGGCTACCGTTGAAAGGTCTAGCAAGTGTCGGGGCTGCCGTTGCCTCAGGGTTCAGATGCAGGGAATGTTCCCTTAATTAGTCGATGACATCAATCTGAAGCAAGTCCAGCTTGGACTCTCTGGCACGAAAACCAGCCGGTGTCAGGAAGGAGCAGTATTACAGGGTTGTGTAGTCTCAAGGCGCGATGCAGGGAATGGAAAGGCAGGCAGATGCTGCTCTCTGGGACACAAAATCCCATCGGTCCTTGCCATGAACAATGGCATCCCTTTCCCGGACATCTCCCCATCCCAGACCCGATGCAGGAGGAGAATGGGAAAGGGGATTAGGAAGGGGCGTTGGACCTTCCCCCTGCCCTATTTTCCAAGCATGTGTGTTGACCGCAGTGTGACTTCAGTTTGAAGCTACTCCATCACACTAAAAGCCAACCCTTCCGTGCCCCACCTTCCAGATGGGGGTGGACTTTTAACTAAGTCTGCTAGATTTCCTCTTGGTGGACACTGGAAGCTCCTGCCCAGAAGATTCTTGCAGACACTTCTAAGGGTTTTTCTTTGGAATATCAAAGCTGTAATGGAATAAGAACTAGATGACAATTCAAGAGTTAAAAGAGTTTCCATGCCTACCACCTCTCTCCCTGTTGAGATGCTTGCCCATAGCAGTAATGATTGTACCTTGCATTTATCACGCTTTGTAATGTTCGAGGGCCTTCAGCTAAATTATCCCATTTGATCCTCTGTGCTGTGCAACATGCTAATTGTTTATGAAACAACTGTTAGAAGAAAAAAAAAAATAAGAGCAAAAAAGGTTAGGAAAGCTAACATTGAGGAAGGAGAAACAATAAATAGTATTTCAGTTTGCCCCATATAGGCAAAAGACTGAAAAGGGAAAAAAACCAGTGCTTACCCAGAATGCATTCCTCTAAGAATGAATGCTAAAGGCATTCTTCAACATTGCCCTGTCAAAGGCTTCTATGGGATCCAGTTTTTGGAAAATAACCCAGAAAACTGCATTTGGTTAAAAACCAATTTATTCTGTTCCCATTTTTGTTAATGATAGCCATGCCTGATAATAATCAACTGGTATTATTCTGAGTTGCTATCAACAGCCATTTGGGGAATATAAAATTCCCATTAGGTTTTGAGGATGATCCCAATAGTCCCTAGATCCCTGTTGTTAGTTCTGTGACTGCAAAGGGATTGTGACTAATGTTTGGGAGCTACTGATAAAGTCTAGCGTCCTCCTTTGAAAGATGAACAGATTGTCCAAGAAAAATCAAATGACTTGGCTAAGATTACAAAGCTAGTTAGGATCAAGGTGAGAGTAGAAGGTGAGTCTTCTGTGTGCATTTCATTTTATAAATCAGATTAAAATCAAATTCTACTGTGAACCATGCAGGTAATTAAAAAATGAAGTCACTAGTTAAAGGAAAAACAGAATCACGGGCTTGATGACAAACGGCAGGTGGCACTCGGCCTTGGTATTGAAGAGGCAGTAGGAAAAAAACAGGACTATGATTAAACTGGAAAAGGGCATTCACCATGGAAATGGGCAACCCAGCCTGCGTTAGCTAAAGGCTGTCATGCTGGGATGTAAACTCAGCATTGCCAAGTCTTCATGCTTTTTTTCCCCAAGAAAAGCAGAAAATGCAAATTTTTGTGTGAACTCTCTCAATGTTCAAATGTTGCCAGTGAATTCAAATATTAAAAAATAGCATTTGGGTCAGCATGTCAAGACACAAAACAGACCAGCAAGTTGCTAATTTATGTAAAAGTAATCAGTATCTGAGCATAAATGTGTTTACTGGTAAAATTTAATGAAGTTCTATGAATTTTTTTTTGTTTGTTTTTTTGAGACAGAGTCTCGCTTTGCTGCCCGGGCTAGAGTGAGTACCGTGGTGTCAGCCTCGCTCACAGCAACCTCCAACTCCTGGGCTCAAGCGATCCTCCTGCCTCAGCCTCTTAAGTAACTGGGACTACAGGCATGTGCCACCATGCCCGCTAATTTTTTTTTCTATATATTTTTAGTTGGCCAATGAATTTCTCTCTATTTTTAGTAGAGATGGGGTTTCACTCTTGCTCAGGCTGGCTTTGAACTCCTGAGCTTGAGTGATCCTCCCACCGTGCTAGGATTACAGACGTGAGCCACCGCACCCAGCCCTGTGATATTATTAATTTGTCAATCTAGTGTTCCATTTACCCATGTAGGAAACTCTTGAGTTTCCACCATAGGTAGAGTATGGTACTGGATATGGTCAGAAGCATTAAATTGGACTGGACATGTAAGAAGAGTAGAACAAGTGTGGAATGGCGATCAAAGGGAATTGCTTAAGACTTGTTCTCACCCCGGCACGCAATCAGAATGACCTGGGTCTAACCCTCGTGAAGATAAGGAAAATATTGCCGAGTAGCAGCCAATGTCAGATGACGCAATTCCTAGTGAAGCCAATAGATATGACATAATGACTTCGAGCTGCCCCAGGATAAAACAGTGAAAGTAAGTGTAGCAGGGGAGGGAAGTACTTAAGGGACCCCATTTAGGCTAGGAGACTGGCAAGGTGGTCACAGCTGAAACGAAAGACCATAGGTCCAGACTGGGTCAGTGGATCTCTGGCCAGCGGGTGAGTAGTGTATGGGTCTTGGAACACCCCAAGTCCGTAAACAGTGTGTTTCAGGAAAAACAAGGGCACTTGAGTCTTAATTTTCCCGGGACTGTATCAGGCAGACTAAACCATCTTGGGGAAATTTGCTTACAATCCCAATTTCCTCATCTGTTAAATTTGCTTCACATTGCTATCCCGGCAGCTTGAAACTTGAAGGAGAAGTGATGCATAAATGTAAGTGTTATGGTTTTCAAATTTGTTATTTTGGTATTTTGAGTGCTAAAAAAGAGAAGGCTTTCTCTTTCATAAATCCAATCAGAAATGTTCAATTTCTGCACACACGAATAGGCAGCTACAATCCGGGAAAATGATTGTGTGATTCTGCACGTTTCTTTGACAAGTCACAAATGGGTTTTAGTGACCAGCTGCAGCTTGTGTGTTAAATTCAAATAACTCATTCTTGGCACAGTTATTTTTCACATTCCCTTGCATTAGGAAAAAAAATTACACTGCCTACCTACCATTACCCATGGTAAAAGCGATAGATCCTATCATAGCTATTTGGAGAGGATATCGCATGCATAAAATGAAAACGTCAATGAATTCAACAATATCTTTCTCCTCTGATCAGAAGGGCAAACCTTCTTGGGATCTTTAGCCAGAAGATCTGCTAAGATCTTCAGGGAATTTTCTCATCTCATAAACTACAGGAAATGTAAATTGACGATGGTTGTTGACTACTTTTTTGGGGACCTAAATGGAAACCAGCTTTTATTGCTTAGGTTCATCTGGAATTCTTGCCCCTCCCCAGGCTCTGGGGCCAATAAAATAACACAGACAGACCTTCAGTCTGCTTCGGTTTTCAGAAGGGGAAGTCTTCTCTTCAAGGCTAAGGACGTTCTTGCGTTTGGGTTGAATTCTTGTGTTGAAGGGACCAGTCCCTCCATGAACGTCCCGAGATCCATTCAACAACAACAAAAAAATACATTTTATCTCCACGATTATTTTAGTCCATGATTATATAAATACATCCTAAGTAGGAAAAACAAAAAGTGTCTCCAGAGAATGAGAGTAGTCTCAAGATTGTTGTAAATATGTTAATAATACTGATTAATAAGGTCACACTGGAGGTGGTTTGATGAGAAAGGATCTCGGGTTGTCCGCGCTGAGCTGCTGCCTACATCAGCACAAGAATTTCTAGCGACCTAATTAATGTCACATGAAGCACGCCTACTGTTTACTGTGATTACCTCATCAGACAAGCTGCTTCAGAGTCTGTTTTTCCTCAGGGTGAGAAAGGTTCCCTTTGACTTCAAAAGTGAGTTTTCCTCCTCTTAACCTCACTCGTTTGGCCGTTTCTTCCAAAACAAATACTTCTCCCTCACCTATTAGCCGTTGAAGATTGAGTTGTGTCTTCAAACGTGTGCCCACGACGCTCGCTGCAGACATTTGACTTCCTCAGGAGCTATGAGTCTTTGAAGGCCTGGTTTGACCTGTGTTTTTGCTCAGTGTGTATGAGAATTTAGGTAATGTTTTCATTTCCTGACCCGCTCAGTATCATTTCTTTGGCAAAGTATGTTCACTTCCCTCACATTTTCCCCATCTGTTACATTCTTAAGTCTGTTTATTACTTCGATTACTTTCTTTTGATCTGTTTTAGTCTGAATATCATTTTGCGAAGACAATGCACACACACACACACAGATATGTAAACTAAAAGAATACACAGCATTT